AATAAACAGTCTCTTGATAAGAGTTAAAGGCATGCGATAAGAAAAACGGTAATAACGGCAGTCAAACTCACGTATTTTTCTATTCTTTTTTTTTTTTTTAGTTTTGTAACACAGTGTTTACCAATTTACGTATCACGGTTAACCAAAAAAAAAAAAAAAAAAGAAAAGCAGGAAGAAAAAAAAAACAAATACAAAAATTGAAAAGGGTGTTTCCGTTTCAAGAGATTTTTACTTTTGCATTTGGCCCGACTCTCTTTTCAGTTTCATTTTGATCTTTTCCAAAGTGTTGAAAAATTAGTTCATTTTATTCACTTACCATTGAATGAATTCGTTTGTTTTCCTGTTGATTGATGTTAACATCATTTTTGATGATTTTTTCAAAAGTTTCAATGTCCGTACCACCATCGTGAAGACGCAATGGTAATCTTGCCCTTTTCAATGCCAAACTGTCAACAGTCGTATCAAGAATTTTGTCGGTAATTTTTTTTTTTCCACCAATCGAATCCCTTTTGCAGGGATTTCTTGTCAAACTCATATTCCAATTTCATCGATCTCGATTTATTCAATCTCGTTAATAAGAGAAAGAAAGAGAGAGAGAGAGAGAGAGAGAGAGAGAGAGAGAGAGTTCTCAAGTAAAATTGTTTGACTTGTTGTTTTTCTTTTTATTTTTGTATCGATTGATTTGTTCATTCGAGTTAATATTATTACGTTTCTTTAATTTCTTCATATCACAGTATTCTCAACGTTTACAAAAATGTATGATAACGTATGTTACTTGTTGATAAATCGTAGATACATCTACAATTATTGTTGAATTTATTCTTGACATTATTTATATGATAGTTTTTAAATAATAGTTTTGATATTGTTCAATTTTTTTTTTAAATTTTTTATCTCCTTTTGTTGTTGTTTGTAACAATGATCAACAAGACAGAATTATATTTTATTTTATTTTATTTTATTTATAATTATTATTAGTTTGTTTTTAAACACATTTGATGTTGTTGCTGTTAAGAGAAACAAAGAAAAAGATTAAGAATTAGATTTTATTAGATTTTATTTTATTTATTATATTATTATTATTATTATTATTATTATTTTTCAAACACATTTGAAATTGTTGTTGTTGTTTGCAAAAACAATCAAAAAGAAAACATTTTAACCTTTTTTTATTTTATTTAATTAATATTTTTTGTTAAACACATTTAAAATTGTTACTGTTTGCAAAAACAATCAAAAAGATAAGGAATTATATTTTATTTTATTTAATTGTTATTATTATTATTATTAAGACACTTTTGAAATTGTTGTTGCAAAAGAAAGAATTTTATATTTTTTATTTTATTTTATTTAATTTAGTTATTGTTATTATTATTTTTCAAAAACATTTGAAAATGTTGTTGTTTGCAAAAACAATCAAAAAGATAAGGAATTATATTTTATTTTATTTTATTTAATTGTTATTATTATTATTGAAACACTTTTGAAATTGTTGTTGCAAAAGAAAGAATTTTATATTTTTTATTTAATTTTATTTAATTTAGTTATTGTTATTATTATTTTTCAAACACATTTGAAAATGTTGTTTGCAAAAACAATCAAAAAGATAAGGAATTATATTTTATTTCATTTTATTTAATTGTTATTATTATTTTGGAAATACATTTAAAATTGTGTTGTTGCAAAAATGATTAACAAGAGTTTTATATTTTTTATTTTATTTTATTTATAATTTAATTATTATTATTTCGTTTGAAAACACATTTGAAATTGTTGGTGTTGCAACAACGAACAATAAGAAACAATTTTATATTTTTTATTTTATTTAATTAATATTTATTGTTAAACACA